AATAAGTGCTGTGTGGACACTTATTTCGAATTAGGGGGCCTCCACCCCTTCCCAGTTTCCCCTGGTGGCCACTCTGGGCCAACCAAGAAAACTCCTCTCCTCTCCCCCAGCCCCGGGGCCCTTAAAGCGGTAGACTCTGGCCACTGGGCACGTGCGAGAGCCAGGCCTGCCAGCAGGTGCACCCAGGACTGAGGGACCAGCCAGAGGCCGTAGACAGCACGCGCCCTCATTGATTAGTGGGATATCATGAACCTCACTGAGGTTTCTGGGGAGGCCCCCAATCTCCATGATCTCCGCATTAGGTGGAGGAACGCGGCTACCATGGCCGCATAGTGGCCACCATGGCCAGCAAGGGACACAGGAGCACCCAGAAAATGAAGGAGCTGCGGCAGGTGTACGCCAGGGCCACCAGGGGCGGTGCTGCAGCAGGGGCTGCCACCTACCCCTACTTCCCCGCCCTCGACCGAATCCTGGGAGGCAGGGCAGGCCGCGCCAGCCCAGGAGGCAGCGAGCTGGGAGCTGAGGACCATGATCCAGGTGCCACGGAAGGGCCACCACCAGCTGTCCCAGCACTGGAGTCGGCAGGGTCATCCGGGGAGGCCATACCAGGTAAGTGCCAGCACTGTTTCCTACCCGGGGGGAAGGTGGGGAGGAACACCAGGGACTGCACGCGTGGGCAGGTAGGTCCAGCTGTGTGACACCTAGGGGCTGTGTGTGAAGAGTGTGTGTGAAGAGACCTGACACGCTCCCGACCCTGCAGCGGGACCCAGCAAGATGCCCTCCTTTCACATACCCCCTCTACACAGAGGCAGAAGGGACCCAGCAAGATGCCCTCCCTTCATATGCCCCCTCTACACAGAGGCAGGGGACATCTGCCCCCCGCCTTAGACGCACTATACACAGCTCAGGGGCATGGGTGCGGTCTTGGGGCAGCTCCCACTCCCGGGGAGATCCAGACATCTCGACCATGGCCTCTGTGCAAACATGTTGGCTCTGACGGTGCACAGTCATCCGCACCTCACATGGGGCGCTGGGCATCATCCAGCAAGCATAAATTCTCCACATTAGGGATTCTCTCTGCCCTTGAACACTGATCTCAATTGCAGCCTTGTGATGCTACTGTTGTACACACAGTTAATGACAAATTTCCATATACAAGCATACACACACAAATCAGTCCTATCTATTAGCCTTTCTCCTTAGCTTGGGTGTAATACTATGCTCATCACAATGTCTGAGTCACCAGGTTTGTCTGATCTACTGTGATGGCACCTTTTCAGAGGCCCTTTGAAACATTATCTCTAGGTACTGGGCTTAATGGTTTCTATTCCTCATCCTTTCAAAAACAAAACAATGCAACTGACTGAGTTGACTCCCACCTCAACCTCCTCACACTCCTCCTCAAGCACACCAAGGCCCCGGCGCCCACTATGCTGGGAGATGTGGCCCAACGAGACACCTACCCCTGAGTGCTGATCTTCCCCTCCCCCTTCTTCTCCTTGCTTCCCCATTCCAGCTCCCTCCTCTCAGTTTTCTCCCTCTCCTCTCCCACCCTCTCTCCTCCCCTCTCCCGCCTCCTTACCCCAGTCTCCCCAGTGTTTCATTCTCCCTCCCCAGTTTTGTTAAATAAAGACAGTTCATGAAAAAACGTGTATTTTATTTGACATCAGGAAGAGGGGCTAGGGAGGGGTAAGTGGAAGGACGTGAAAGAGGAATAGGGCACGAGACCACGGTGGGGAGGACCAGGGTGGCTCTGAGGGTTCCTCGGGGTAGACGCTCCCCCCCATGACCTCCTGGATCCTTATGGACCTCCCAGATGGCAGCCTGCTGCAAGTGCAGCTAGGCTGATGGCAACGACCCCACGAGATGCACCGGCATGCCCAGGGACAAGTCTGGTTTCATGTTGCAGAGTGCCGTGGTGTCCCAAGTGAGGGCAAGCAGAGCACTCCAAGACACAAATGCTTTGCTGTTCCTCAGTGAGGTAGACCAAGCAGAGAAACCTGAGAACTGTCTGTCCGGGATGGGGGGTTGGGTCCCTTTAAGCACAGATCTCGGATAGCCTGAGGCAGCAGCCCCACACAGTAAGTCTGACCCTGATGCCCTGCCGGCACTGGTTCTGGCCAGCCTTACCTTCGATTCAGGGTCTACTCAATGTGGACGCACTATTTTGAATTAGAAAAATGCTATTTTGATTTAATTTTTGTGTCTAGCTGCATTATTTCGAATTAGCTTGATTCGAATTAACTAATTCAAAATGAGTTAATTCGAAATAGCGCTGTAGTGTAGACATACCCTAACAGATTTATTGAAGCATAAGCTTTCCTTGCATCCGACAAAGAGGGTCTTTGCCCACAAAAGCTTATGCTCCAATAAATCTGTTAGTCTAAGGTGCCACAAGACTTCTTGTCACTTTTTCTGATTCTTAAGCCTGTCTTCAACTCCAGTCGAGGGGGGGGGGGGGAAGGAGATTGGGTTCTCTTCTTTGGGAAAGGGTTATGAAGAAGGGTGATGAACTTAGCTTGTGGTTATTCAACCTTTTCAGCCATTATTTAGGTGTGTGTCCTCTTTTCTATTCCCCTTCCAGAGTTTTCCTTTCAGCTCAGCACAGAAAATGACTCCTGTCTGGTTTCAGTTTCTGTCCCAGCAGGTGATGGGACGCTGACTGAGAACCATGAGAAGAGTCTTCAGCAGGAAGGACTGGAGGAAGTGTCTCTGAGCAAATGGCTCCATGTGGGATGTTATTGAGAAGATGTGAAGTGTGTTTTTCCCAGAGTCCTGAGCTGGGATATACCTGTGAGAGTCAGCATAGCCCAGAAAGGCAGCAGGGAAACCATGTGGTGGAGGGACAGGGTAAATCACAGTCACAGAAGCAGAGGTGTGAAAAGAAACAGAGAAACCATTCAACAGAAAATCCTTTATCAACAAGCACCCTATGCTTACAGTGACTGTGCCACTCTTAGGGTACGTCTACACTACAGCGCTAATTCGAACTAACTTAGTTCAAATTAGTTAATTCAAACTAAGCTAATTCGAACTAACGCATCTAGAACTAAAAACTAGTTCGAATTAGCGTTTTGCTAATTCGAACTAGCGCATCCACATTAAGTGGACCCAGGGGGGCATTTAAGGGCAGCTGAAACCGGTTCTGGCAGGGCATCAGGTCAGTAGTTGCTTTGTGTGGCTGCTGTCTGAGGCTATCTGAGGCTCG